GAAATAAATAATTTCTAAAAGGAAAAGAATATTTAGATGCATAAAAGATCAACTCAAAGTTTACTTATATAAGCCTTCTGCCTATGCCAACAATTGCTATTTTCAGAGGTATCTTATTTATCACCTCTGTTCTCAAGTACACAACATTCTAGGTTATCAGACCAGTTTATTGCTTTCACGTGCATATATGTGAGACTTGATTTCCTGTAAGTAGCAAGATAAAAGTTTTCTTAAAGCACCTACCATAATTTGATAAAAGACAAATGAATAAATGAAGTGGAATCTGCTACAAATAACTCAAATAACAAAAATCAAAGCAAAAGAAAACAATAGATATAACCAAAAAAGACTTCTTATTTCCTCCTGAAATGAATTCCCATCTGCTTTTAAATGGCAACATGTTTTTCCATTCACTGGGAGTCACAGCCAGAAGCCAAAGACAATGAGGTCCAGGGCCACAGGGGAGTGGTGGGAGGCAGAGTGCTGAAAGATGTGCTGCCTGCTTCAGCCTCTCCTTTGAGGCTGCTCTCTAGTGACTGAATTCTCCTTCCAGTTGGCGACACACTTCCTCCTGGGACCCTCCTGGGGATTAAAAAAATGCTTCAATTCTTTGTATACCCTCTCCAGAGAGGGTAGAGAAAAGAGCTATTTAAAACTCTGGGCCTGTGCAAGTTTTTATGGAACATTATGGTTTAGGCAAAGAATCACTGAAAAGAGAAAATATATTTAAAAAATAAACAACAGAATGCAAAAGTTTCACTTCTTATCAAATTAGATGAGTCAAAACTTGATGCCTCTACCAAGTTTCTGATGCTATAAATTCAAATGGAAGGAGACTGTTCATCTTTCTTTTGCAGAGCTGAGTGGATTCAAACTACTGGAGACAAGCAGCCTTTGGGTTAGCAGTGCCACCTGACACAGACTACATCACAGAGTTTCCTACTCTCTTCTAAAGTACCCCTCAAGAGATTGAAACTGTCAACAACTTCATCTTACTTGGATCCACAATAAACATCCTTGGTACCTGCAGTCAGAATATAAGGAGACACATTGCAAAGGGAAAGTCAGCAATTAGGGACCTCTTCAAATTACTGAGGAATAATGATGTCAGTTTGAGGATGAAGGTGTATCTGATTCAGGTCGTGGTCTTTGCAATCACTCGCTATGCACTGAAGAGTGGGACAATAAATAAGGATGACAGGAAGAGAACTGACACCTTTTAGGTGTGGTGTTGAATAAGAGCACTGGCCAAAGGAACAATTATGTCTTAGAGAGGGTATAGCTGGAGTGCTCTCTGGAGGCAAGGATGAGGCTTCAGCTCACGTATTTCAGGCATGTTGCTAGGAGGGCCTATTCTTTGGAGAGGGACATGATGCTTGGAAGGGTAGAAGGCTGGTGAAGGAGAGGAAAATCCTCAAATAGGTAGACTGACATGGTGACTGCTGAAATGGGCTCTAGAGAGTTGAGAAGTGTTGGGATGGCACAGGATAGGACAGAGGTCAGCTCATTTGTTCATAGAGTCGCTATGAGTTGTACTTAATTCGATGGCAACTAACAAAAAATAATTCCTCAAAAGCTCAGTCATAACTTTCTAATTTAAAATAAGAAAAGCTCACGAGAGCTAAAGCAAACATTTTACTTCTAAAAAAAGTTAAGAGTGCCAGTGATTTCCTTATCTATAGTAAAAATTCTTGTTCATATAGCTGATTAACTGTGTAAGGACAAATAAAATAATTTTTGATAATCTGGAATATAACTACCCTGTGACAGTCAGCAATTAGATTTTTCACTTTTATACTAAAAGTGGTCACAGAGATATTACAATTCTTCAGCATAGTATAAAAGTGTTGTAGAACTTTATGACACAGGAGAAAGGACATATACCATTTACTGTATTGTTTGTCAAATGTGTACTATATCATAGGTTCTGTGCTTGAGGATATAATGATAAAGCCTCAGCCCAGATAAGAAATTAGTTACACTCATGAAAAACTCAAAGGTACTCAGGAGCAACAGTGTCTCTCTGGAGACTAAGGTGCGCCTGATACAGGTCATGGTGTTTGCAATCGCTTGTTATGCATCAGAGAGTTGGACAATGACTAGGGAGGACAGAAGGAGAGTGGATGCTTTTGAGCTGTGGTGCTGGAGAAGGGTACTGAATGTACCATGGACTGCCAGGAAAACAAACAGATCCATCTTCGAGAGGATTAAACCAAGCTACTCCTTGGAGGCAAGGATTCTGGGGCTTCGTCTGACATACTTTGGACATGTTGCCAGGAGGGTCGGGTCCTTGGAGAGGGACATCATGCTTGGGAGGGTGGAGGGACAGCGCAGGAGGGGAAGACCCTCTATGAGATGGATTGATTCGGTGACTGGGGTAATCGGGATGGGTGTGTCAGAGGCAGTGCGGTTGGCGCAGAATAGAGCATGGTTTAGGGCTGTTGTGCATAGGGTCGCTATGAGTCGGAAACGACTCGATGGCACATAACAACAACAACATGAAAAAACCATTCAAACTAGAAGAGGGAGGCAACTGAAGCCCTGTATTTGAATCTGTTTTACCATTAAAAGGAAGGAGGAGAGAAATTAACATTTAATTTTGGTTTTCAAACTTTGGAAGCCCATTTTATTTTTCAGTTGAAAGTAATAAGAAACTGCAGTGCAATTCAAAAGACATACACGTTGAATCTGTCAGCAGTTCTGTGGGAGAAGGATGAGAAACCTTGTGAGATAAACTGCCTCTGAAAGCCCACTGCAGAGTCCGTTATGGCATACAAAAACAACAAAGCTAGGTTTAACCTATCCTAAATTTCCTTTTAAGACTGAAAAATTTGTTTTTATAACTTGCTAGCAGTCTTGAGTTTGTACCCAATTCATGGTGACAGAAGCAAAAGTGAACAAATGTTGCCCAGTTCTGCACATCTCCATGACTGCTTAGATGAATGTGATCCGCAGGATTTCAACTGGCTGATTTTCTGAAGTAAACTGCCAATTTTTCTTTCAAGTCCAAGTCAGAATGTCTCTCTGTCTGGTCTCTGAAACTTGTAAATCTTAACAAAAAGAAGATTATGTAACTTTCTACTGTAGAGCAGCTAGCAGATTTAAACCACTGGAAACATGCAGCCTGATGGTCAGAAGAGCTACTTGCTAAGAAAAAAGTCTCTAGGAATTGAAGGAATACCAATTGAGGTACTTTAGCAAAGAGACACAGCCCTAGATGTGATCACTTGTCTAAATAATTTTTAAAATAATGCTCAATTAAAAAAAAAAAAGTGACACAACAGAATTGTAAAACAGAACTGTAAAACATTATCATCAAATAATGTCATGAATATCACATCCAAGTGATAGCTTGCTGAAGACTTTGAGGGGGGGAAGGCTAAAATGTTACAATGAGAGAGTACTACGAGACATTCAAGCAGCTTGTTTGTGAGAGGCTATGGAACAAGGTATATCACTGCTGGTGTCAGATCGATTATTTGTTAAAAGCAGAGAATACCAGAAAGATGTTTACTTGTGTACTACTGACAATGCAAAGCATTTAATTATGTATATCATAACAAATTATAGATAACATTGAGAAGAATTAGAATTCCAGAATATTTAATTGTACCCAGGTGGAATGTGCACCTAAACCAAGAAGCAGTTGTCACAATGGAATAAGGGAACTTTTCATTTTTTCACACAAGAAAAATTGTGCACCAGGATTGTATCTTTCACATCATCTCTTCAATCTATGTTAAGCAAAGATTCTGAGAAGCTGCCCCATAAAAGCACAGCACCAACACTGAAAAAAGACTCGTCAACAACCCAGGTTATGCAGATGACACAACTTTGTTTTAAGTCAAGATTTGAAGCATTTACTGAAGAAGATCAAAGACTACAAGTTTCAATATGGATTATGTTTTTAAGAAAAATCCTCACCACTGAACCAATTAGACAACATCATGACAAATGGAGAAAAGACTGAACTTGTCAAGGACATAATTATATAGACAAATTTAAAAAAAAGTAAATCAAATCAACTTAAGAGGTGCTAAGGAGAGGAAGAGTGCTTCTCTTTCATACTTACACTGGTTACCATATTTTTATTAAGATCTTTTCTATTCTTACTGAGAGTATGCTTTCATTGCCTTTTATTATTTTTATGACAGAATCTTTGTTAAAACACAATTTGAGAAGATGTTCCACAAAGATGATAACACAATAACTTTACTGCCCATTGAATTTCAGGCTGCTTTCATGATATCCCAGTATCATTTTGCATAGGCATGAATCAACCAGATTCACTGGTGGCACAGTGAATTAAACATTGGGCCACTATCCCTACAGTGGTTCAAGTCTACCAGTTTCTTCAAAGGATAAAGATGAGGTAATCTGCTTTCAAAAAATTATTAGCCTTTGGAACTGTAAGGCACAGTTCTAGTCTTCCCTATAGGGTCTCTATGAGTCTATATTGTTTCAAGGCAGAGGGTTGATTTTGGTTTATGAGGTCACAGTAACAAGGGTTATAACAGAAATGATTTTGCATTTGACAGATAAAAGTTCAGAGGGATGTGTGAAAACTGTATCAAGATGCACACTTCTTTTTAGTATATTAAGCTATGTCTCTTAAGAAGCAATATAAGCTATATAATAAACAAGATATAATACACGCCAGGTAAAATGCAATTTAATTGGTGATTATTATTATGGATAGCCTTCCATTTTAAAGGATTTCTTAAAAACAATTGGCAGTAAGTAGTCTCTTCTCCCTAAGAGACCTAAGCTACCACCTCCCATCCACTAAGGTATTTTGAGGCAAATGAAGGAGCTCTACTGGTATAATGCCTTATGTACTGCGTTGTTAACCAAAAAGGTAGTGGTTCAAATCTTCAAATCTACTAACTGATGCAGACGAGAAAGACAGGCAGTCTCTTCTCTTATTAAAGATTTCGTTTCAGAAATCTGAAAGAGGGTTTCTATGAATAGGATGCTACTCAATGGTGGTAGAATCATACCTCTGCTCCCGAATATGTATCTGTTAGGAGGATGAGTTCATCTAGGTCAACTTCATTACTGATGGGCATAGAACGAAACTGCAGGTTAAATATTTCCTTTCTCGTTGCTGCATCTGGTAAAGGCACGTAGATGATTCTATCAATCCTTCCAGGTCGCATCAAAGCCTACAAAGAAGATAAAGCATTACAGATTAATAAAGTTCAGAACGGATATTCCACATAAGCAAAGGAAAAGGAAGTTCAGAATGATTATAAATCTTTCATTAACTTTAAATGTAAATAAAATGAGTGCCAGATATTTTTTATTTCAAATACTTCAACAAATGCTCAGAGTGTTGTTGAAAACAGAAAAACAGTATTTCAGGGAGGCTTTCTGCTCCTCCACAATGTTACGTCAGTAGAAGGGAACTATTCTCTTTTATGTTTACATGTCTTATACTCATGAAATCAAAAGGAGTCATTAGTAAATTGTTACAACAAAAGCAGAACTTTTGACATAATCTAAAATTCCACATTTGTGCTGCTTTTATTATCACTCAGTGACTACTATTATTAATTAAAAAAAGGGTGATCTAGAAGGACATTATGCTGAGTGAAAATATCTCAGTCACAAACAACAAATACTGCATAATGCCACTGTTATGAAACAGGACTGACAGAGGGGTTGACAGGGGGTGGAAAACGGGATAAATAATGAACATTATATTGGAATACATGAAAGAAAAAACTGTTTGAAAGGAATATATGATTAGGCATTATGTGCAAGACAACAGTCCAGAATGAGAGGTGCATAGCAACACAATGAATTTTTTTTAAGAGAAAGGCGAAATGAGATAGGGATAGGGAGGAACATGTACAATAATGAATGAATAGAAATCCAAGTAAAAAAGTAATTTTTAAAAAAGGTACCTGTTTAGAGAACTATACTAAAAGAAAAAGTATAAATTTGGGAGTAAAATTAACAAAATGTCATAATAAGAAAAATTCAATCTAAAACAATAGTGGAAAAATGAATACATATTGCACAAAGGAAGCAATACAGTAGACAGATTAAAAGATGTTCAAAATCTCTAGTCATCAGAGCAATGCAAACTTAAACCAGTGAGAAATAATTATATTAGCATTAAAAATCAATAAAATGAAAAATACAATAGTAAACGTTAAAGATATGCAGCAACTAAAATGTACATATTCTGTTGACAGAAATAGAAAATAGCACCAGCACTTCAAAAAGCTGTCTAGAAGTATTTTAAGAGGTTAAATAAACCTCACTATAATAACACAAGAGAAATGAAAACACAAAAACTTGCATATGGATGTCCATAGATTTTCTCAACACTCCAAAAAAGGTAAACAACACAATATCCATCAATATATGAATAAAAGCCAAAGCCATTGCCATTGCGTTAATTCTGTCCCACCTTAACCCTTTATTGGATATTAAAAGGTAGAAATCTTTACTGGAGAAAACGGATCTTTTTTTCTAATGAGGGGCTGTTAGAAAATTTGAACTGCTGAAGAGTCGGTGTGCAATGTGACTTGTGAGGCACTGTGCTCTAAGAGCTCCTTAATTTTTGAGTAGAGAAACAAAATATGGAGAACTAAATATTACTGTTTGTATACTGTTCAGTTACCTCACTGAGGAATACTATTCACCAATTAAAAACGGCAAACAAAAAGGATTAAAACCCAAAATGATTATGTTCAGTCCAAGTAGCCACAAATAAAACAATATGCACTATATAATTACATTTCTATAAAATACTGAAAAAACTCAACTTTCTCTCTAATGACGAAGAGCAGAACAGCTAGGGGCTTCAAACACAGGAAACTGCCAAGACTCTAGTGGAAACTTTCAGGAGTATTGGAAATGTTCTCCAGTTAACACAACTTCCTAAATTAACTGAACTACA